TGGTCCTAGAGGAAGCCTGGTGGACTAAAAACCCAGATTCATGCTCAAATAATCATAACCAATGGTTTCCTCTCTCTCACCTCAATCAACACAAAAGGAAACCAGGGCAGAGAGGCCTGATCAATCATGGTCCAATTCTTCAAAACAGAATATATCGAGCACCTACTATATGCCAAGCATTTTCCATGTATGCTATGGAAAGCAGAGGCCATCAGAAAGCCAGAGATGATCACGAGAGTGATTGTGGTTTAGTGAGAGAAGTGCTACACGTGGAGTCAGAGAATCTGGGTTCAAATCCCAGCTCATTTTTCATTCAGAAGGCATTTAAATGCCTATTATGGGCCAGGCAGCGTGCTAGGTGTCAGGTTACAGAAACAAGTGCAAAATATATAAAAATATAAAACAAACAAATGTACAGAAAGTAGAGAATGGGAGGGGGAGAAATAACTTCTGTATGAGTAAGTAAATATAAACCAGAATCCTCCAAAATTTCAAGGAGGAGAGAAGGACTAGAGATGGAGGGGATCAAGAAAGATCTCCCATAGGACATATCAGCTGAACTGACTTGCCATTTACTACTTCTTTGGTTTTGGGCAGATCACTCATCCTCTCTGATCTATAAATGATGGGTTTGGACTGGGTGGTCTTAAAAGTTCTTTCTAGTCCTAAATCTATGTTTCTGTTCTCCAAGAACACATCATGGCAGTAGACTTCAACACCCACCCAACCGAGGCATGAAAAACAAAAACCACATTTTATGAGAGTCAGTTTTCCATTATCCATGATCTTGGGGCTGGGGGAGATGTGGAGGAATACAGGAGTAGCCTGGATAAAGATGATGGTGATAATATTACCTTGCAGTTATATTTTTTACTGACAAAATACTTGCATGCCTGTTCTCTTATTTGCGTATCATAACCCTGGGAGATTGGCAGGAATTGTTATCCCTATTTTGCAAAAGAAAAGCCCCACTGATAATCCAATGTATTAAGTGACTTCAGCCTAACCTTTGCCCATACCCAGAGTTACTCACCAGAAGAATTTGCTTGCATAGGTCAGCCTCGGATTGCCTTCACTCCTCTCACACGATATTTGTCCTTCCTTTACCACTAATAGGATGTTCTCCCTCTTCATTGCCGCCTCCTGACTTCCCAGGCTTCCTTCAAGTCCCAGCTAAAGTCCCAATTTTTACAAGAAGCCTTTCACAACCCCTTTTAATTGTAGTGCATGCCTTCTGTTGATTATTTCTTATTTATCCTGTATCTAGCTTGTGTGCACAGAGTTGGTTTCATATTGTCTCCCCCATTAGATTGTGAGGAAGGTCAGGAACTGTCTTTTGCCTTTCTTTATATCCTTAGCACTTAACACAATGCCTGGCACATGGTAGGTGTTTAATAAATGTTTATCGACTGACTGATGGATGCGACCTTGGGCAAATCACATCATCTCTCTGAGCCTTAGTTACCTCATCTGTAAAATGGTGTTGGACTAGATAATCTCTCAGTATTTCCAAATCAATTCCAACTCTAAGATCATTTAGAAGTGAAGTGACTAGCTCTAAAATTATGTAACTATCAACACCTTTTGTAATAATTTGCATGTATTTGGGGAAATAATTTTTTCCCAACAGAGACTTTTAAGCACCTAGCTTAGTGCCATGAACATACATAATAGGTACTAAAGAAGTATTGAAAAATGAATGAATGCATAAATAAATGAATGGATAGGTAAATGAATGAATGAAATGCAATAGACAAGAACTACGATTATTTCTTTCTCAATTAGCCAGATAAATGGCATTCCAGTCAGTGGATTACCAAGTTGCTTTTTCTTCTCCCTCCTGTCTGAGGAACCTCCTGAGACTTTAGAAAACATTGAGTCCAACCACTTCATTTTATAGATGAGGAAACTCACACAACTAGCAGCTGGGAAAGGGCAGGATTTCGATTAAGGCTTTTCTGACTCCAAGTCCACCACCCTAGCCATGACACTGAGCCTTGTGATCTCCCTATTTCTGGAGCTATCATGGCTTAAGAAAAACGAGTTCTGATCTCAAACAAACTCCTAACCTTCCAGATAGCCTTGACACATAGTAAGGGCTTAATGGATTATCTGTCTGTCTATCTATCTATCTATCTATCTATCTATCTATCTATCTATCTACCTATCTCTATCTGTTCATCTATCTATCTACCTATCTATCTCTATCTATCTGTCATCTACTTATCTTTCTGCAAGATGGGGGATAATAATACCTACCTCACAGGGATGTAAGAACAAAATGCAAAACTTAAAGCACTATCTGAATGTCAGCCGTTATCATCATCATTATCATCATCTTCATCATCATCATCATCATCACTACACTGAAAGGAAGCAAGCTATAGTGGGAAAAGCACTGGAATAGAAGTTGGAGACATGGGTTCTGGTTCTGACTCTGCTATCAGCTGGTTGTATGCTTTTGGTCAAATCACTTGACTTGTCTTGACAATCATAAACAATGAGAGTAGGGAGTGAGGTGGAGGGGTAGGAGAATTGAGAAAGGCCTAGTAATTAGGTAACCCTTGAACTGTGCTTTTAAAGATGTTTGGATTTCTACAAGAATGAAGTAAGGAAGAAGTCCCTTTCAGATATAAGGCAACATCTACATTTTCTTTTTTGAAAAATGAGGGGATTATATTAGATGATCCTTAATCCCCCTTCCACTTCTAATATCCACTTACTCTATACTGATACTTGTGGATCTAGGATGCCTATAGTGACTCAGAAGACCCAGGAGGAACCCCCCTGCCCCAAACATCTTACCTGGGGCTTCTTTAACCTTTAATCAGAGGATGCCTCTGAAATCCTCCTCCACTGGTTTGAAGATGCATTGGGAGGTCAGAACTGGAGGCCTCCCTGAAGATCCCTCCTAAAGATCATGTCACATTTCACTTTCTAAATCATGACTACACTTGTCACATAACAATGTGTATTATAGTTATCCATACAGTGTCTACTCTCCTACTAGACTGTAAGCTCTGATCTAAATTTTACATTTTCCTCCACTCCTAGCACAAAGTTACACCTGATAGGCAAAGTTCCCCAGGGTCTCCCCAAACCCAAGTGACCCCCTGGCTATTTGGTTGGCAGGTGCGCTTCCTAGAACAGCAGAATAAACTGTTGGAGACCAAGTGGAACTTCTTGCAGCAGCAGAAATGCTGCAAGAGCAACATTGAACCCATCTTTGACACCTACATCAGCACCCTGCAGAAACAGCTGGATTGTGTGGCAGGGGACCGGGTGCGACTGGAGGCAGAGCTCAGTGGTCTGCAGGATGTGCTGGAGAGCTACAAACGAAAGTGAGTCTGCCCTCCTCCCTCACTCCAGGCAAGAAGAAATAGAAGCCAGGGCATTGTGCAAAAAGATGGAAAGGGCTCTAGGAAAGATCTCCTAGCTGCCTAGCCAGTCCTGAATATCCCTTGTGCGTAGGGAGGGTCCTGTTCTGTGTATGGGGGAGGCAGGGTGGGTAAAAAAAAAACATGATCCCTGTGTTGTGAGAACTCATATACTGAAAATGATCATAATAGCTATAATTTATCTAGCATTTCAAGGTTAGGGAAACACTATATCAATATTATCTCATTTAAGCCTCACAATAATACTATGATGCTATTATTATACCATGATGCTATTATTATACCCATTTTACAGATGACGAAAGATCTGTTGACTTGCTTAGGGAAGTACCTGATGCAGGATTCCAACTCAGGTCTTCCTGGTTCCAAGTCTAATACTCCATCCACTATGTCAGGTAGCTGATGTGAAAGGACAGATGCTCAAGGTCTAAGCTCAGAGATAGAAATATGAGCAAAAGAAGGGTAAGAAACCGAGTAGGTAAGTGCCAAGGACACAGGAAGTAATGATGTTAAGTGGAATTAATCAAAGAAGGTTTCCTGAAAATAGGCTGGCAGACTTTGAAAGGAGGTGGTGAAGAGGAAAGGTCAGGGAAGAATGTTAGGTGGGAAGGAACACTCTATAGGATATACACCAAAGCAGGGATGGGGATGAGGCATCAGGAATCTTGAAAGGAGCGTCCTTATAGGAGAACCACAAGAAATTCTACTGGTCAGGTGAAGGAGAGGTGGTGGAGAGAACATTAAGCTTGAGCAAAGAGATTTGGATTGGATATGATGGACAAGAGAGAGGGTCACAACAGGTGCTTGGGCAGGAAGTTATGTATGGGGTGGGCTGGAGGGAAGAGACATAGGAAGTTGTTTTAATCTTTGAATCCATATGGAAGTCAAATTCAATCATTCTATCCCAGTATTAAATTGGGTGAGGGTGAGAAGGTCTCAAATCCCATCCTGGAGCAACAGAAACAATACTCGACTTGGAGTCAGAAGATCTGGCTCTTCCCATGTGATCCTAGAAAAATCCCTTAACCTTTCAGAGCCTCGGTCTCCTCATCTGTAAAATGGAGGCAATCTTACAGACCCACTGAGTTGTTGTGACGCACATACTTTGTAAGCTGTAGTCTTCAATTAAATGTAAGCAATGATGATACCTGTTATTACATGAGTCCAGTGAACTGGGTAGTTGACACCCCTTCACTCACCTCTGTGTGTAGAAAGAGGATGACATTTAGACCAGCTGATAAGAATCAGGAATTATAGAATTAGCTTTCAACACAGAGGGTCACATTCACCAGATTCCCCCTCTTCAATGGCAAACACTCAACTCTTCCCCAACTACCAGTAGAAAGAACAGAATGAAATGAGCTTCCTCAGCCCAGTACTTAGGATGAGAATTCATACAGGGAAGAGCTTCCTAAAGACTGAGCAGGATACTAATGGAAGGGTGGGTGCTGAGCTGAGCATTGAAGAAAACTAAAGATTCTAAGAGATAGAGGGAAGGAGGGAGAGCATTGCAGGCAGGAGGGAAGTGGAATGCCCCTTAAGGTATTCAATTCAGCCAACACTTATGAAACACATTCTATGTGCAAGACTCTGGACTAAGGGATTATCTTTATTAAATGCCTCCATTGGTTAAAGGTAGATTTTTCGTATCAAGAAATCCATCTACCCAGAACTAAAAAATGTTGTGCTGGTGGGGAGAAGGGAGAACTGGGTTTGAAGTTAAAGGAATCTTCATTCTGATACTATCTCTGTGACCTTGAAGGAATCGCTTCATCTCTTTGGGCCTCAGTTTCTTGATCTGTAAAACAAAAAAGCAGAACTAGGCAATTGCTAAGAACTCATTCCATTCCAAATCCCATAATCCTAAGAGGTCTCCTCCAAACGGGATAAACCAAGAGAAAGCAATTTACTCTTCTTGCCTTTCAGATATGAGGAAGAACTATCCCTGCGACCCTGTGCTGAGAATGAATTTGTGGCCTTGAAAAAGGTGAGGGAAGGCCTGGCATGGATGCTTTCCGAGAACTCTTCAGGCAGGTTCTCCAGAACACAAGAACACGAGACAATGCCCAGTAATAATATTAATACTGCTCCCCTTTCCTACCACCTAAAAGGAAAGGCAACCTGCCTCCTGTGGGCATCCTACAATAAAGGAGGGGCTGGACAGTATTCACCCACATAATTCCTTTAAATTAAAAATATTTATTAGGTGGCTACTATGTTCAGAGCGCTGTGTTAGAAGATGGGGGAGATCCAGTGAGGAAGCTTTTGGTTGAGAGATAATTCAAACAACTTTCCTAGAGTATTCAAGTCTTCTCATGTCTTAACTTCCTCAACTGATTAAAGCAAAAGCAGGTTTGAGGCAACCTGCAAAGTAAGGCTGACAATTGAGTTAATGCTAAGGCCAATTTAAAGGCCTCTTCCTCCACCCCAAATCCTCTTTGTCTAAAATACTGAGATAACTGAAAGTTGAAAGAGTGTCCTAACTTTTTCAACGATGAAGAGACAGTTCAAGCAATGAAATTCCAACTAGGTAATCAAAACTTCAGGGAACTATGGTATAGGTGTTCCTTAGAAACAAAACAAACATAAAACCCTTTCCTACCAAAGCTTTTCCTAGTCAGGATAGTGTACCCCTTTCTCTTCCCTAATGCCAACAAGCTGTGATATATGGAGCCCTATGGCTGATGATTCCTCCTCCATTTACATCATCTCCTTCATTCCCCATCTACCAAACAAAGCAACCATAGGGCTCTGGCTTCCCTCTGCTCAACAGCCTTAAAAATGGCTCTGATTAGTGAAGGATGGGCCTCAGCCAAGGGAGGGTTTGGAGACTCTCAGCAATACCGGGGAGTGCCCTTGCTTTAAGATTTCACATGTCTTGTCTTCCTTCAGGATGTAGATACAGCCTTTCTGATCAAAGCTGACCTGGAGACCAATGTAGAAGCCCTGGTTCAGGAGGTCAACTTTGTAAGAAACTTGTATGAGGAGGTAAATGAGCTCATGGTATGGTAATCTATGGACTGGGTATGGTTTCAGCCTCTAACCTAAAAATCTGGAATGTAGGACCATTGATAGATTTCAGGAGATGTAAGAACTCGTATGGGAAAAAAGGCATGTCTTTATTTATTATTTTTTTTTTACTAACTTTTGGTTTCCTTTGTAATTCTATATATTTTATGCATTTTAAAATATGACTTTGAGAAGGGTCCTTAGGTATCACTAGAGTGCCAAAGGGGTCTATGATACAAAAAAAGGCAAGGAACCCCTGCTCTAGTCAGTGAGAACATTTCCAGGCAAAGAGTTCTAAAACTCTTATCTCATTGATATTAGAACCAATGAATATTGGGCAGTGCCAGTGAGCCTCCTTGAAAAAGAATCTTCTTTCTCTCAGCCTCAACATTGGTTTTAACCAGAGATCAGGGGGACTCTGAGGGTCTGGGCTTGTGTTCTTTGCTATTTAAATGGAACCAAAGATGATGCTTATTTGTGAAAAAGAGAGAAGGTGAATTGATGAAAGAATACTTGAAGAAGCAGCAAAAACATAGCCATTGGATCATTTGGAGAAACTATTTCTAGTATAGTGTCCATATTTCATTCTCTTCCTTTCTCCCAACTTCCTGTCAAGAAGACCTCTTTGACTTTCCAATTCCCTCCTTCATTTGCCAGGAGATCTGCCTGCTCCAGTCACAGATTTCTGAGACCTCGGTCATTGTGAAGATGGACAACAGCCGGAACCTGGATGTGGAAGGCATCATTGCTGAGATTAAGGCTCAATACGACGATATTGCCAGCCGGAGCAAGGCTGAGGCTGAAGCCTGGTACCAATGCCGGGTGAGGAGAGCCAGAGGTTGTTTCTCTATCCTCTGTGGGAAGGAGGCAGGGAAGAAGGCAAACTTCCCCAATAAACTAACTGGTGAGGTGCCAAGGACCCCATGAAGTGACAGGATGCTCTGTAAATCCCAGACAATGTTGTTTTTGGCTGTTAGAGGACTGAGTCCCAGCGAGGTGTGTGGGAGGAAGATTGGTTCAACAGACCAGACCCATCATCAGGGAGCAGTGGGTTCCCAAGTTTTATTTACCCTGAGACTCATTGGAAGTTCCCAGTCTAGTTCCAGCTTTTAAGTTGCCCTCAATAAATACCACTTGACAATGATAGTGATGCTATTGGGCTATTGCTAGTGGGCTATTTGCTGAGAGTGGGAGAGACTGGTAGAATAGAATGGTTACTAATGACCAAGCAGAAATAATGATTAATATGACCGCCAATTTTCACAATCAGGTAATTAGACACCAAGAGGGTAGGAAGTGAGATAAACATTTGCATAGTGACCTATAACATATTGGAGGGGGAGTTTTGGACATTGAGAAATGTCTGAAAAGCCATTTCAATTATCCATTCTGTGGTTCATACCAGCCTAAGTTTCATTCCAGTTTGACTCCTCCCCATTCCCTTGGGTTGCCCTCTACCAGGATGTATTCAAGGGATACAAACTCACTTCTATGCTCATTCTCTCCTCAGCTAAACAAAATTAAAAGGTAAATCATTCCCCTAGAGGAAAAAAAATCCCAAAAAGAGTGAGTTTCAGAACCAGAGAGAAATTGCCTTTAGGATTACTTGATATCATCTATATATCATCTGTGTTTCCATTAAATTCAGGTAATTTAATTCCATTAAATTCAGGAAATTTAGAGTGGTCTGAATCTTAAGTCAGTTTATGTCAGTTTAGAAAACTCATTCCTACTAAAGTCATGATTCAGAAATTAGATCCAGAAAACAAAGATATTTTTTAATTGTTAAGAAGTTAAAGCAAGAAATGGAGAGTTTTTGTTTTTTAATGATAGAATCTGAGCAGAGTTAGTCTAATTCTGGGTATCAGTTTTCAGGTCAGTTGTCATATCTGATCCTGAGCATACTGATGTGTGAAGCTCTGTCCTGTGTGCTTTCCCTCTCTGTTCATCTCCCCTTTTCCAGTCCCACTAAGGAAGGAGAGAGGGGGTGGTGGGAGTCAGGTGGTGATTCTCTTGGCAAGTCTGATGGTAGAGACAGGACCCAGATGGAGCCAAGGACTGGGAAAAGATCAAGGGACAGAACTCTGGATGTCGGTACTCAAGTTACAGAAGAGAAGCAGGGGGCTGTGGATTAAGAAGGAAGTGGGACAGCACTAGGGCTAGAGGCAAAGGTGAGAGAGCAAAATGTTAGTTACTCTAGTGAGAAGCCTAGGAGAATGATCTGAGGTGAAGTATGGACAGAAGACAGGTTGACATGGATGGAGTAGAGAATCTGATCTGGGACAGCCATTGAATGTGCAAATGCTTGGATGCTGGATAAGGGAGATACCACTACTGGGGTTAACCCAGTTTGGGCCCTGGAGATTCTGACTTTTTCTGTACTCTGGCAGTATGAAGAGCTGAGATTGACAGCTGGAAACCACTGTGACAACCTACGGAACAGCAAGAATGAGATCCTGGAAATGAACCGACTAATCCAGAGACTACAGCAAGAAATTGAGAATGCTAAAGCTCAGGTGAGGCTCTGGGGAAATACGAAGAGCTCTGCCTCAAAACTGTTCATTACAGGCGGGAGTGTGCTCTCCAACTGGCTCTTCATGAAAGAACAAATGCATAGGTTAATATTAAACTGAATCTCTATTATTAACACTTTCTTAAATCTGGACAGTAAAACAATAAATCAAGCTGCAATTTGTAGTGTTTGCTGATTTTCAAGGTGTAAATACTCACATTACAATGAAAATTTAACAAAATTGCCTCTCTCCAGCTGTTTGGAGCTGGCTCCAACATAACCCTGGTTGCAATTCTATTCTGAATTACTGGTCTATATTCTGGCTTATCTATTCATTCAGACCCATTCTTTTGAAATCAGGGCCAACAGTCTACTGAATATTTGAATGACTGTCACCTAGAAAAGTGAGAAAACTTGCTCTGGGTTGTTCCAGAAGGTAGAACTAGAACCAAGGAGTGAAATTTGCAAGGAGGCTGATTTTTAGGTCAACATAAGAAAGAGCTGCCTAAGAATAGAATGCACTGCCATGAAAGTGACTTCCCTGTTACTAGAAATACTCAAGCAGAGTCTAGATGATTATTGGTTAAGGCTGCTATAAATGGGATTATTACATTGAAGGGGAGGGTAGAATAGAGGGCCTCTAGGTCTTCTTTCAGTGCTAAGATTCTTTGATCTTATGATTATAGGTCTGGTAGGGGTTTTCCAACAAGTTGGGAAATCAAATTAATTCTATTCTTACAAGCCAGCAAAGACCAGCCAGTAGACATGCATCCATTTCCTCCAAAGCAGTCTTTTACCGCTTCTATGAAGGAAATCTCAGATGTGCTTGGCGTGGTTTAGTGAGGAGAAGTAGTTCTAAATTTCTCAGCAAAACCAGATGTGGCTGCCATATTCCCTCTATGGTCCAGAAAACCCAGTTCATTCTTGCTAGTGCCGCTGGTAGTCCCCAACAGTCCCTCTCTGTGTCCCGTTGTAGCGCTGCAAACTTGAAGGTGCCATAGCTGAAGCTGAGCAGCAGGGAGAGGCTGCCCTCAATGATGCCAAGTGCAAGCTGGCAGGGCTGGAGGAGGCCCTGCAGAAGGCCAAACAGGACATGGCATGTCTGCTGAAGGAGTACCAACAGGTGATGAACTCCAAGTTGGGGCTGGATATCGAGATCGCCACCTACAGGCGGCTGCTAGAGGGAGAGGAGCACAGGTGAGCAGACTGATTAGTAAAGACTGCTAATGAGTTAAAGACCCAGCCTGTGGATTTTCCAGGGTTTTTGTTTCTGGTCCTCCTTCCTACTGTCTATCTATTTTAGCCATTTTCATTAGCAGTCAGCTGTGGATTATTTGGGGTAACCAAGGACAACAGTGGCCAATTCCTTTGGTTCCTTGCAGTCTGAGGGGAACATAGAGGTTGGATTATAACATTTTTAAAATCTTCTTCATCCTCTTTCATTGTGATACCTGAATGTCTTTTCATCCTTCCTTTTCTTTCTTGTTCCCAGGCTATGTGAAGGTGTTGGACCTGTGAATATATGTAAGTAGACAATTGTCCTAGGTAGTTATGGAACCTTGTGGAGTTGGGGTGTTGGCTGTTGTCCAGGAAGCCCTGGCCCATATCTGATATTTGTTCATCAAAAATAGTCAGCCCTATATTTTAGCACCTCCTGTGGATGGAGTCGTTTTCTGAGTCCTAGAGAGGAGATACTGAAGGACGGGAAAACATTGCCCTTACCTTCAGGGATCATCCACTCTGACAAAGAGATGGGATACAAGCAGCAACAGGCAGAGACACAGAGAAGGGTAGTCCCAGAAATCCATTTGTCAGAGCTCTGGACTTCATTGCTGGTGGGATGGGAAGAGATTAGGGTTAGTAGAGCCAGTGGGTCTAATCTGTTGGAGAGGAATGTGAAGGAAGGTTGGGAAGGAGAGGAGAGTCAAGGCTAGAAAGAGATGAAGGGAGATTGCCCCAGGCTGGGGAAATAATCTTCTCAAAGCCTAATAAACAGGAAGTTGTGGCTGATGAATGGGAGCAGGTGTACTTGGCTAGAGGACCATTCAATATTACAGGAATGGAGATTGTGGAGGAAAAGGACTTGGAGCTCTAGTTAAAGCATTGAAATTTGACATGGGTGGTTATTGAACTATGTTATGTTCTGAATAAATATTTTCATTCTTTTCCTCCTTTTCCTCCTCACAGCTGTCAGCAGTTCTAAAGGGGCCATTTTGTATGAGCCCTGCATGGTGAGAACAGAGTTCTGCCCTGGGGGCTCGAGCAGCATTCGGAGCATTGGGGGCTGCAGCTCGGGCACTGTGGGGAGCAGCATTGTGGTGGGCACTGGCGAGCTCTATGTCCCTTGTGCCCCTCAGGGTGGGTTCAGTTGTGGGAGTGGGCGGAACTCAAGTGTCAAGCTTGTATCTGGTGGCTCATCTAGCCACAAATGCTAACATCCTCTGGCCTGGCTAGGAACCTCCTGGGTCTTCTCAGCCCTGGATTCCCAATCAGCTTCCAGCATAATTACAAGCTTCAAAACCTTCTGCATTGACCCTGTGTGGTTTTTTAAACTTGTCTTTTTTTTCTCAATTAACGAGCACATATTTTTTCTTTCTCACAACCATCCCCCACAAGAAAAAAGAAAAAGAAAACCCTCCTGACAAATATACATAGATAAGTAAAACCTGTTCCAACACTAGCTATGTCCAAAATGTATCTCATTCTGCAACCTGAGTCCATCACCTCTTAATCAGGAGGTGGGTAGCCTGCTTCATTATTGATTCTCTGGAGTCATAATTGGCCATTTCTTTGATAAGAGTTCTTTATCAAAGCCATTTTTCTTTACAATGTGATTGTTGTTGTTCAGTCATTTCAGTCACATCTGACACTTCATGACCCCATTTGGGGTTTTCTTGGCAAAGATACTGGAGTGGTTTCCCATTTCCTTCTCCAGCTCATTTTATAGATGAGGAGACTGAGGCAAACTGAGTTAAGAGAATTGCCTGGGGTTACACAGCTAGTAAATGTCTGAGGCCATATTTGAACTCGTGACTCCAGTCCCAGCACTCTATCCACCTTGCCCCCACCTGTGATTGCAATTGTATAAATTGTTCTACTTGTTCTGCTCCCTTGACTCTACATCAGTTAATACAAATCTTCCCAAGTTTCTCTAAAACCAACCCTTTCATAACTTTTTTTTTTTGGTGGTACAATAGTGTGTTTTCATTCGAAACTCCCCTTCATTGTAGTGAAAACTCTTGATTCACCACATAGTGCTGTGTATATGTTTCTTGATCTGCCCTGTGCTAGATACTGTTGCAGGGCAAGGATGGAAAGAGAAAGTTCATGAGATTTGAAGACATTAAGGCTCAGATCTTAACCTCAAGGAACTGATACTCTGACTAGGCAGCTGGTTAGATAAACAAAAGATGTTGTAAAAATAGCAGACAGCCTTTTCACAAAACAAGATCATTACATAAAACAACAAACTATCCATTTTGTTCAGTTCTTTATCCATTACAACAATTTACTCTTGCCCCATTCGCATCTCCTTGCAGTCAGCTGGCTCCCCAAAGCCTTATCTCTCAACTAGCTCAGAGAAAGTAAACTCAATGCATATCTAGCTAAACCAAAGAGGGGAATGGGGGTTCAAGAGAGGCATTGGGTCATAGAAAGGGCTTTAGGACTATTTTATTGCTTCTACTGGTTTATAGAACTGAGAGTTGACTCTACAGGACATTTTTGGCTTTGCTGAAGGTTTACCCAGCTACTTCTGTTATTCCTGTGGCTGAGTACACACTGACTAATGGTGAGGGGGAATTGAGGCAGGCAGGAAAAGCTAGGAAAAGCCAGGAAAAGCCAGGCCAGCATCTAACAAACAGTTGCTGTGGGTGACAAAGTGAATAATCTGCAGACAGAGCAGCATACCCCAGGACATTACATTAAATATTGTCTCCATTCTTCCTTCCTACTCCATCTCTGACTGTAGCCTGCCCTTCCTCTCCATCCATCCCTTCCCCAGCAGAATGTCCCCAGCAGACTAGTTTAGGGCATGTTCCCATGGGCCCTTGGGGGAGGTCATGAGCAACTCTGCCTCCAGTGGCTGCCTGCATCACCAGTGTCTCTGGAGCTCAGGCAAAGGTACTTTGAATTGAGACACAGATATGCTATTAAATGAACTCTTGATCAAAGGATCTAGGGATCAGGATGATTTATCTTGAAAAGAAAGCAAGAGGGTGAACTTTTTTTTTTTGGTGGATGAAGGACTATTAAAAAAAAATGTGAAAATGTGAAGAACAATTAGAGATGTGTAAATCCCCTAAAAAGTGATATGGCAATAGAGCACTGGGTTTGGAATCAGGAAGACTCATCTTCATGAGTTCAAATCCAGCCTCAGACACTTACTAGCTGTGTGACCCTGGGCAAGTCACTTAACCTTATTTGCCTCATTTTCCTCATCTGTAAAAATGAGCTGGAGAAGAAAATGGCAAACCACTCCAGTATCTTTGCCAAGAAAACCCCAAATGGGGTTACAAAGAGTTGGACACGACTAAAATGACAACAAAAACAAAGGAGGCGGGGCATTGATCAGGGTATACTTTTGTCAGAAAGCAGACAAGGTAAGAGTTCAGGATCAGCTCTTTCTAACAAAAGTGAACTGGGAGATTGTAGATTGGGGATCCCCTAATCATCCACCCTACATAGGCAATACTTACAGATCTATGCACAACTTATATAAAATGTGTAAATAACAACCCAGTTGTTTGCAATTCACAGATATGTGCCACATAAATTTCTACAGGGTGATATTTTAACTACTTCATCTGTGTGGAAAATATCCTTATGAAGGCAGACCCCCTAGTGTGTGCCATGGCAGAGCCTCCCAGCTCTTCAACTCTTCCTTCTTACCTCCCATCACCATTTTTTATGGGATTAAAGTGTTCTGCCCTGGGAGAAGGAAGTGGAGAAGAGAGATTGTGCAACAGAGCCAGAGTGCAGGTCTGTCTCATCTCAGAGTCTTCTCTGTTGTAAGCACCTAGGCAGCTAGGTGGTACTGTGGGTGGAGTGCTGAGCCTGGAGTTAGGAAGACCTCGGTTCAAATGCAGCCTCAGACTCTACCTGTGTTGACGCTGGCCAAGCCACTCAACCTCTGTTTTCCTCAACTGTAAAATGAGGATAATAACAGTACCTGTTACTTGACGTTGTTGTGAGGATCAAATGAGATAATATTCATAAGGTGTTAGCACAGTGCCTGGCACATAATGCTCCTTCTAGAGGAGGTGTTTCATGGGTAAACACACAGGTAACACCATTTGTTGGGCAGGAGAACACAGGAGGGCTCCTAACACTAAAAGGTATTTTAGTACAGGTTCACTTTTGATCCAGTCAGACAGGAAGACAGCTTTGGAGAGGTTAAATAAGCTTACCTTATTCTAGTCTACTCTTCTCAAAAGGGTTGCTGATAATGGGAGCACCAACTCCAACAGCATTCCCTAATCACACTTCTCTTAGGGGCAGGCAAGAATAGGAGTACAATTCTTCATCCCCTAAGCTTCATTTGGGGCTAGTTGAGGCAAACACAGCTTCCCCCCAAGCCTTGATGGGGGCCAATCAAGGCAGGTACATGCATTCCCCTATACATTACCCAAATCCGAAAATGGGTTTCCCCTAAGCCTTGATGGGGACTGATCAAGGCAAGCACAAATGCACATCCCTCATGTGCATTCCTATGCCCCACTTACTGACCAGTGCCCACTTGCTTTATAGGGCAACAGACAAAGAAGGCATCTTGCCAACAACAGCCTCACAGGTTAACTTTAGCAATATTGTCATGAGCTATCACGGTGCACGCATAGTAACTATCATATTATGTCACCCCCATATCTCTACTGAGACTGCACAGAAGTTGTTTTCAACCATAATTCATGGGAAATGTTATCTAGGATCCTGGAACTATTATCTAAAAAGAATAACAAAAATCCTCCTTAAACATACTAAAATCCATGTTACTTACATGGGGGCACTGAAGACTGGGAGCCCATGCTGGATCTCTAATAGTTCATCTACAGTGACCTGAGCCTAGCATAGTAGATAGAGCACTGGATTTAGAATGAGGAAGGCCTGGATTCAAATCCTACCTCAGATACTTCCCAGCTGCATGATTTTGGGCAAATCATTTGTCTCTATCTTCCCATCCATAAAACAAATGTGTAGGGTTCAATAACCTTGAAGGACCCTTCCAGTTCTAAATCTATGTTCCTGTAGTCCCTGTGTACCTTAATAGGTCATAGAATTGGAAGGGGCTGTAAAAGTCACCTAATCCAATCCTCTGATTGAATAAGTGAGGAAACTGAGGCCCAGAGAGTTGAAGCACCATGCCTACGGTTGCACAGGTAATAAGAAGCAGGTGTTTGGGCTCCATCTTCAGAGTTCTTTCCCCTATGTCACTGTTAAACAGCCTCATCTTACCAGGCAGCTACCCAGCAAAGAGGAGTTCCCACCTAGTCAGAATCACAAGAACAGGGGATGACATCCATTGATATCTGATTGGGGAACATGGGTTGAGGAACCAAGTTTGGATTTTGGAGTCAATCAATAAGCATTTACGAAGCACTTACTATGTGCCAGGCACTGTACTAAGTACAAGAGATACAAATAAAAGCAAAAGCACGGTCCCTGTCCTCAAGGAGCTCACATTCTAATGGGGGAGACAACATGCAACAACTCTGTTCATACGAGACATATGCAGTATCAAGTCAACAAGCATTTATTAAGCACCTACTATGTACCAGGCACTGACCTAAGTCCTGGGGATAATCCCTGACCTCATGGAGTTCACATTCTAATGGGA